GGGAATATTGATTTTCACGCAAAACATACTTTTGCACGTTGTAACAGTAACATCCCAAAGTCCCATTTGGCAGAACAAATTGATACTTCCTACATTAGGAAACAAACATTCTGAGCTACTACAGAATGGCCCTGCCTATCAGTCAACAGTTCTCTTTTGGGCCAGGTGCTGGCTCAAACTTACAATCCTAGCACTTTGGAAGTCATAGTGGGAGGATTACTTAAGGCCGTAAGTTTGATCAGCCTCGGTAACATAACGAGACCCTGTCTCTACAAAAATAGAAAAATTAGCTGGGCATGATGGCATGTGCCTGTAGTCCCAGAAACTTGGGAGGCTGAGGCAAGAGGATCACTTCAGCCTGGGAGTTTGAGGTTGCAGTGAGCTACGATGATGCCACTACACTCTAGCCCAGGCAACAAAGCGAGAACCTGTCACAAACAAAAAAAGAAAGAAAAAAGAAAAACTTTATTCTATTGAAATAATCAATCATAGACAGGCTGAAATTGGTACATTTCCTAGTCAAAAACTGAATGGGCAAATGAGTGTTTGTAAAAGAAAAGGAAAAAACAAACCATTTTCAGACGCTGGTGATTATCATGAATGATTATGTATAAGAGAAGTTTAATTAAGTATTCAGCATATGCTGCATATTTTTAAATTTATTTAGCACAATGAACTTGAATACATGTTTTCTGGCCTATGTTATAGGGAACTGCCTATATTTTGAAATGACAGTTGCCATGGACTGAATGTTTATGCCCCCCAAATTCATACTTTGAATCCCTAATCCCCAATGTGATAGTATTTAGAGGTGGGCCTTTGGGAGGTAACTAGGTCATGAGGGTGGAGCACTTATGAACAGGACTGGTGCCCTTATAAGAAGATACATGAGAGTTATGATCTCTCTCTCTCTCTCTCTCTCTCTTCCTGCCATGTGAAGACACCGAGAGGGGGAGGCCATCTGCAAACCAAAAAGAGGGCCCTCACAGGAACTAAATCTGCAGGCCCTTTGATTTTTGACTTGCCAGCTTCCAAAATAGTGAGAAATAAATGTTCACTCTTTAAGCCACCCAGTATACAGTATTTGTTATAGCAGCCTGCACTAACACAACGGTTAACCTTAGATACAGGACGACTTTCAGTATTAATAACGTACAATATGCTGAACCTCTTGGAGTTCTCGTGGTGTTATTGCTCACATGACTTCACCACCTACTTGACCATGTTTCAGAGTCCAAAAATCAGTCACACAAAACACTAATCTCATACCCTGGCCTTTCCTCTTCTCACTTTTTGGATGAGCCAATTCTCAACCATAACACAAGGCTACAAATGTTTTTCTCTGCATTTGTGCCTAAGCTGCAAACTACTACTGCTTTAAAAAAATCACAAATCACACATTCAAGCCAACTCCTACTAAGCTTTTTTCTCACTTGCCAATTCATTAGTATATTCCCCACAAGGGTTACTCCAAGTCTCTTCATCTGATTTTCAGAAAATGGATGGTTTAACTATTAGATTCTTAACAGTTTCAGAAATAAAGAATCTCAGAGATACTACTTTCAACTCCTTCCTTATATTTTATATATAAACAAAATTTAAAGGACTATATCTTGATGGACAGTGAGCTAATTAACTTAAGCCCCTTACCCATCTCCTTAATTTCATCATTATTTAATGTATCTTGCTCAATTCGTTCTACCTCAGGGGCAGATCTACAGAAAAGTCAAGGGCACAGCCTGAAGCCACACTGCCCTGGATGCAGTTCCAGCTAGGCTGCATAGTAGCTGTGTGCTTCTGGACAAATTACCGATTTTCTGTGTCTCGGTTTCTTCATCTGTAAAACACAGGTAATAGCAGTATCTGGCACATTGGGTTGTGACCATTAGCTAAGTTAAAACATGTAAAATCACTAGCCCATAGTAAATGCTAAATAAGAATTAGTTGTGGTCATTATCATTCTCTACAGCAACAGTTTCCAACCTTTTTGGCACCGGGGATGGTCTTCATGGAAGACAATTTTTCCACGGACCGGGGGAATGGTTGGGGGATGATAAGCGCATTACATTTATTGTGCACTTTATTTCTATTATTATTACATTGTAATATCTAATGAAAGAATTATGCAACTCACCATAGGCTGGGGACCCCTGCTCTACAGAACCTTTGGCAAATGAAAACATATCCCCTCCTCTAAATTTACTTTTCTATTACTCTTAATTCCATACTCTTTCCATACCCAAGAATTCGGTTCTTTCAATCTTCTCCACTTTAGCAGCTTTAAGCAAATGCTAGCATTCTACTTTTCTTCTTTCTTTTGATGCTCTGGGCTCTTTGTTCTCTGAACTCCAACACTTACTCCTCACCTCAGTATACGCTACCAAATGCCAAATCTCCATATCTTAATTTTGAGTTCCTACCTAAGCTCTAAACTTGTATATCTCCAAATATATGATATTTCTACTTGAGCATCTTCTTATGATCTCACATTCAATTTTCATCACTTGTAAAATGATTCCTAAGGTTAACTTCCAACTACGAAAATTTTCAATATAATCTAAACAAAATTCCTATCTTCTCTACCCATTCCAAATAAATTTTCCACTATAACTTCACAATATTGCTATTGGTGGCACCATAATTCTCCTAGTAACCGAATTCTGTCTAGTCTTACTTCAGAATTTCTGACTTCACCCATTCATTTCTAGACTATCACTGTACCCAGATTTTTCCAGGTCTTCTCCTGATTCTAGTAAACCTCTTCTCAATTCTACATTTCTATCATTTTCATAATGTTCAGTTACATTATCACCCACTTAAAATCACATCTTCAAATACTGTCTCATTATCATCCACTTAAAAACCTCCAATAACTCTCCACTATTTAGTCCAAATTCCTTAGCCTGGCATTCAAATTGTTCTACAATCTGTTCCCAAACCATCCACTATAATCCACTAAATCCCCATAATTATTATATACCTCAATCAAGCTCTACTTACCACCTAAATGTAACCAGTTCAACTCTATATGATCACATGACATCTGCCATCCTGAAACGCCTTCCACCATTATTCACATATATCCAAAATTTTTGAAGACTCACTTCAATTTCATCCTTTCCCATGAAATCTTACAGTCCAGAGTGACCTCCCCTTCATCTGAATTCTTAAGCCATTTATTGCCTATACAACTCACTTGTCACTTAATTACATAATGCCTCACACTGTTACCTCAATGTGTAAATCATCTCTCATATCAGAGTAAAAACCCCAGGAAGGGATAGTATCACATCTCTTTGCACCCACTATATTTTCATTGAAAGCTGTGCCTCATAGGCACTTAAAAAAATTATGGATTGTGTAAAGAACACAATCACCTCGCTTCATGAGATACTAACTACCTGGCTCATGTAATTCCCTGTAAGAGAAATGAATTATTGAAAGAAAAGTAGAAATAGAAAGTTACTATTTTGCAACCACCATAGTAATAATGATTCATGCAAGAATCATGAGCAGATGCTAAAACCATCACATGAAAGTTTCCGGGGGAACAGGATATTCATACAGTCTCAAAATATATCTCAACAGATTACTTATGAATTACAAAGGCAAAAAAGGTACCTTCACAGTGAAGAAATCTGGCGGACACCAAGTGATCAAAGTTAACATCACCAATAATGGGATAAACTGACATCATGTGCCTCCTGATGTGATGCACTGAGGACACAACATCACTTATGTATTATTCCTGCCAAAAATGCATAACCTGAAACTAGTCATGAGGAAACAATCAGACAAACCAAAAACTGAGGGACAATCTACAAAACAACTGACCTACACTCTTCAAAAATGTCAGTGTGCTGAAAGACAAAGGCAGGCTGAGGAACTGAGTATGTGATCCCAGATTAGATCCTGGACCAGAAAACAAATTGCTGTAAGAATATCACTGCTACGCAGGACAACTGGGGAAATTAGAATATGGACTGTATTAGGTAACGGTATTATATTAATGTCAAACTGCCTGATTTTGATCATTGTTCTTTGGTTACTTAAGAGAATTTCCTTACTCTTAAAGGAAATGTTACAAAGTACTTTAGGGTAACTGAAATCTAAAACTTATTCTCTAATTTTTCAGCAATAATAACATTGGTAATAGTAATAACAAATATTAATAGACTGGCAAAAATGTAGCAAATGTTCTGGTGAATCTAGATGAAGGGTACACAAGAATTCACTTATTGTACTTTTCATAGAACTTTTCTGTTTTTATTTTTAATAAAACTTGAAAAATGAATACCCTAATACCACACAAAAACTGTGGGGAAGTTTTTATAAACCTGTGGTATTCTACATTTGAAAATTTAAAGCAAGACATTATAGTAAAGTTATTTTATAAATGAAATTACATTTTATGTACAGTGTAAGAATTTGCTCTATAAACACACTTGTTCTAAAAAAAAAAATACATCTTTTTGAAATCAAAGAACCATTTTATAATGTTAACAGTCCACCATTAATTTATCTTTTAAAAAATTGACATTTATCACAGAACTCAGTTAAATAAATAAGGTCAACTTCAATTAGTGAAACGTCTTAGAGAATATTTTTAAACAATGCAGTTTTATTGTTTTCAAATACACAGAGAAAGTAGAGAAAGCCAAAATGGGCTGATTGATTAAAGCATTTTAAGGAAAAAATAATTATTTGTAATTAACATACTAATAAATAAGCATTTGTAAATTACTGAATGCTTCACTATGATTATAGAGAATGTATTTATTACAGATCACAAACTTCATCTTCCCTCAATTATCAAAAATTCTGATTTAGCTGATTATAAGTTTTGAGTGAAGTTTCATAATACAGACATGAATTAATAATTTCTATACACTTCCTAGAGCCTTTAAAAAGAATACTTTTGATCAAAGTACAACATGGTATAAAAGATTTTCTACATTCAATCAACATAGTATTAGCAACAGTCCTTTAAAGTTGGATACCTTATTTATGAGATGTTCAGTAACAACTTCTCTTAGTCCAGTGTAGAGCTTTTCTCCATGTTTATGTAAAACCATTGTATATGCATTTCTATAGAGCTCCTCAAAACTAAGACCACTGTTATTCTTACGCTGGATTTCTTGAATTGCATTTTTCAGAAGGTCCCAAATGCTGTTAACGTATTTTTCATCCATGGTCATCTGTAATATCCAAGAAAGAGAAGAGACACAAAAAAAATGGTTGAAAATCTTTCTGCATTTGTCCATATAGTAAATATTTTATTATATGGCTATAATTATAAATCTGCATGACTTATAAGGATGTTAGCCTGTTTTAACAGAAATAAAGGGATACATTTTTAAATAGTTTCTAGATCTGATAGAAGCAATTTTTTCTAATCCTTTAAGACCTCCCTCTATTATTACCTAGAGCAAAACTTTCCACTTTAAATAAAATAATGATTTATATACCAAGTCACTACTTAACCCTCCTCCTCTCCTCCCTCCAACCACATCTACCAACTTATCTGATTTTATGCCAATACAATCTGCTAGTTCTTGTGCTCAAGATGCCAAGTTCTTATACTCAAAGTATAGCAAAGGGACCAGAAACATAGGCACCACCTAAAAACTTGTTAGAAATGTAGAATTTCAGGCCCCACCCCCAACCTACAGAAACAGAACCTGCATTTTAACAAGAACCCAGGTGATACATACACACAGAATAAAGTCTGACAAGTAATTTAGTTCCATCACAAATCACCTATGCAGAGACCTCCCTTTAGCAACTGTCCATCTCAGCGTCATCAAAATCTTTTTTCTCTGCTAGATAATTTCCATACACACTCAAAATTGTCAGTTTCCCATCTAACAAACAAACAAATCCTTACAACCCACGTACTCCTCCAGCACCACCTAATCTCTCTTTCCACTTACAGAGGAATCCCTGGCAGGAGGGGGAGATTTCTATATTCTGTCTCCAAGTTCCATCTTTCCATTATATCTTGAATCCACTCCAATTAGGCTTTCATCGCTACCATTTCACTGAAAGTACTCTTAAGGTCACCAGTGACTTCTATATTGCTAATATCTAATGGTCAAAGTCTCTGTTTCCATTTTACTTGACCTATCCAGCAGCTTTTCAAAGAGCTCCTGAATCCTACTCCTTGAAACAGATTCTTCGCTTACCTTCCAAGCTCCATAATCTCCTGTTTTTCTTTCTATTTCACTGGGTCCTATATGTCAGTCTGCTTTACTGGTTCTTATTCATCACCACAACCTCCAATTCTAAGGCTCAGGTTCTGGATCTCTTGTCTACCCACACTCAGTTTCTAGGGTGTAGTTGATGTCATCTATTCTCATGGCTTTAAATCAATCCCAAAACTAATATATTCTGTTTGGCCTTTTCTCTTGCATACCAGAGTCATATATCCAGCTACCTACTCAGTGTTTCCACTTGAATGCAGAGTAGGCATCTCAAACTTACCAAGTCTAAAATAGAAGTCATAATCTTTCCCCCAGTCTTCTTCCACTGCAGTCTTTTCCAACTGAGCAAAATGTCTATAATGTCTTATAATCATCTGTAACTACTCTCTTACCTCACTTCTAATCCAACAGGAAATTCTGTAGTCTCTACCTTCAAAATATATCCAGAATTCAACCCCTTCCATTGCTACTACCCTGGTCCAAACCACTATCATCTCTCAGGTTACTCCAACAGACTCTTAACTGGTCTCCATTTCTGCTCTTGGCCTGCTACCATCCGACAGTCAGAGTGACCTTCTGAAAGCATAAATCAAATCATGTCACTCATCTGCTCACAACCCTCAATGATTTCTCATTTCCCTTGGAGTTAAAGTCCTTACAATGTCCTGCAAGGCCTTATTTGATCTGATAATCTCTCAACTTCATTTATTTTCCCCCTTGCTGACTCTGTTCTATGCACACCAACTTCCTTGCTATTTCTTGATCTATATCAAACAAGGTCATTTCAATGTCTTTGTATTTGCTACTCATTCTCTCTGGAATATTCTTCCCTCAGATTTCTGGACAGCTCCAACCTCTACTCAACTGTAATCCTTACAGTGAAGTTTAAATGCTTGTCCTATTTATTTACAACAACAGCCTCCTCTTATCAACAACTTCTCATCACCACTGACCCCCAACTCCAACCCCACATTCTTTATTCTTTTCCTGGTCTCCCTCTCCCCAAACAAATGGCAGCTCCATGAAGGCAGAGATTTTTGTCAGTACTGAATTCCTCAGCCCTGTGGTCCCCAACCCCCCCGCCAAAGCCCAGGACTGGCAGTGCATCGCTGCCTGAGTTCCACTCTCCCCCACCCCCCGTCGAAAAATTGTCATCCTTGAAACTTAGGAATCAGGCACACAGCAGTTGAGCAGCAGGAACATTTATAGCTACTTCCCATCGTTGGCATCACCACCTGAGCTCTGCCTCCTCCCATCCCCATCCACCTGAGCTCCGCTTCCCCCTGCCCCCCATCCCATGGAAAAACTGTCTTCCATGAAACTGGTCCCTGGTGCCAAAAATGTTGGGGACCACTGCCTCAGCCCCTAAAACAATACCTGACACATAACAAGCACTCAGGGTGGCTGGTTGAATGATTTTCTGCTAATATCTGACTAAGGAGCCCTTTTTTATGCCACGTAAAATCTGCAAGTTCTGCATTTACAACCTGGGCGACTTCACACAAGCTGGTCAGCTTCACACATACTTCTGACTTGAAGTGTATAAAAAGTACTGAGTTAGTGGAATCCTCTCCAAGTCATGTCTGATGGGCGTGAATGTGAAAGAGGAAGGAGTAGACAAAATAGTTCTTTTAGTCACCCTAATAGTAAAGTACCAGCTCAACTCCCAATCAAGAGGATCCTTAAGCAAGTAACTCAAACTGGGTCTTATCTTTTCTGGAGAGCTTAAGAAGGCTATTCAACAGAGCAACCTCTTTCCTTTTACCCAAATCCTATGCAAAACCTAGGTTTATTAGAGGCTTTAGCAAACGACCTTAGGAGAATCTACCCTCACACTTAAACTGCTACCTATTTTTAATCATATACCTTGACACACAGGATGTCATCCATATAAAATGTAAAAATATGGCTACCTACTGAACTTCTCACAAATAAAAGAAACAAGCCCCATAACAATGATGGCCTCAAATACCATGGCTGTGTTTGTGCAATGTGGTTTTAGTTTGCAGACAGCATACGCTGAGGTTATAATAAAGCAAACTAAGACATTATCCCCTGACATTAAATAACATAGAAATCAGAATATTCAGAACAATTTCCAAGAAAGAACAAAGTCAATGTGGACTATAAACCTCAGAGATACCTACACTACTAACAGCTGAGCAAAACATCAAATGATCTTTTCAGGATCTATAACATGAAAGCTAGAAAAAATATAGAAAGGTCTCTGCCCACTGTAAATTAGATACTAAAGAATTCAAAAAAATATAAACCAAGAGGCTTCAAATGTTGTACAAGTACTCTCACATCATGATAAAAGAACATTTTCAAATATATAAATCAAGAGTTGTTTTACAATGCAAGATTGTATGTGATATCTTTCTTAGTGTTCATGACTTATCAATAGGGCAGAGGTGGGGGCCACAGGACTAAAATGTTCCTTCTGTTGACAGCTAAAGTTAAAAACAAACAAACAAACCACACATTTTTTTTCAAACAAATGATAAGAAAATAGACCAAGGGAGACTAAATGACTTACCCAAAATCATACAACTGGAATTAGAATTCATATATCCCAAAACCTAGTCCAAACCATTGGACCCACCTAAGATTCCATTGTGTATTACACTAAAGTAACATCATAGTGTTAGTTATTGATTATCTTGGTAAACACAGTATATTAGTAGAGAACATAGGTTTTGCTATCAGACAAGCCTGGATTTGTATCACAGCTTTGTTATTCACAAGCCACATGACCCTGGGCAAATAAACTCCTAGGTTTAATAACAGTATCTATCTCAAAAAGAGTGTCATGAAGATTAAATGAGAAAGTCAGTAGATTTAGCCCAGGCCAGGGCACAGTATAATCCCTCACACATCAACAACAAAAGTGCCCAATGATAGAATTTTTTGAACTCTCATCTACAGGCATCAAATAAACGTCAAAAAGAAATAAATACAGCTTTCCAAGCTTAGCAAATAAAAGGCATGAGCTAAAACAAAAGCACCTGAAGAGTATGACTATGCTAAATGCAAATCAGTATAATGTAGCTTTCTTTCAGAAACATTATTCCCCTATACCCCATGTTTCCTACTTTTCCAGAGCCATTTAAATCGTTCATCCCCAGAACTCTGTTCTTGACTCTTTCATTCTATTACTGGGTCCCTATGCATTTTTTCATTCATTATCATAGTTACAACTATTATCCATACATGTAGGGTTCTAAAACTTAGGAGACTCTAGACTGACTATTAGGAATTCTGGAGGTTCCTGAAACTATATACAAAATTTTTCAAGTATAATGTGTGTGTACTTCTTTCATGGAGGAGGGAGTTCCTAACTTTTATCAGATTTCCTAAGAAGTCTGCCCACATCTTAAAGAAGATAAATTACAGCAGTCCCCCTTACGTGCAGTTTCACCTTCCTCAGTTTCACTTACCTCTGGTCAACCTTAGTCCGAAAATATTAAACGAAAAATTTCAGAAATAAACAATTCATAAGCTTTAAATTGTGTGACACTCAGAGTAGTATGATGAAATCTTGCACTGTCCTGCTCCATCCCACCCAGGACGTGAATGATCCCTTGGTCCAGCATATCCACGCTGTCTATGCTAAGTACCCATTAGTAACTTTGTAACTTAGTAGCCATCCTGGTTATCAGACTGTTGTAGTACTGCAGTGCTTATGTTCAAATAACTCTTATTTTATTTAATAATGTCCCCAAAGCACAAGAGCAGTGATGCTGGCAATTAAGGTAGGCCAAAGAGAAGACATAATGTGTTTCCTTTAAATGAAAAGGTGAAAGTTGTCAACTTAGTAAAAAAAAATCTTATGCTGAGGTTGCTAGGATCTTAGAATAAGAGTGCATCTTCTATCTATGAAATTCTAAAAAAGGAAAAAGAAATCTGTGCTAGTTTTGCTGTCATACCTCAAAGTGCAAAAGTACAGACACAATCATCATTCAGTTCACTTCATCTCATCACGTAGGCATTGT